TCCGTTCAAGTTTAAGCCTTCTAGGTTTATGCCGAAAAACAAACACCTTTTGGTGCCCTACACGTATCTTCCCTTCGCAGCTGGTTCTCGCAATTTTAAGTCTAGATTTTTTTTGATAAACAACAGAGTAATTTAATCTGTTTCATTTCTTTGCAGGCATCGGCATGCGTTTTGCCTACCAAGAGATAAAGGTTTGTCTTGCGACTGTTTTGAGAAAATTTAGTTTTTCTCCACTACCTGACACTCCAGAAAAGCTGACTTTTGCCAAGGGAAACTCCCTGCTTGTTTCAACTCCGTTTCCACTACATGTACAAAGACGATGATACTCTGTGTGTGATTTGTAAATAATTTAATAAACAGTTGACCTTTAACTAGTTAATTAGACACGTTTCTCAATCTTAATGGGAAATGGCTCTACGTTCAGCAGTGGCTTAAACNTAAACGGCTTGAAAAACATTTTTGCAGGCGTCTTTTCAGCTGGAACAAACTTGAAGGTTGGCAGTATGGCAGAGATGAACATTTTAATTTCCTGAAGGGCAAATCTCATTCCGACACAGTTGCGCGGACCTGTTGTTGAAAAAAGCAAAACAGTGACAATTGTAAAAATTATTCTTAGCAAAACACATACCAGCACCAAAAGCGAGAAAAGAATAGGGGACAAGAAGATGCTTGTTCTCCGGCATAAAGCGATCAGGCAAAAACTTTTCCGGCTCTGGGTAAAACTCGGGGTTGTGGTGGACGGCAACTACAAATGTTTTGTTGGTTAACTTTTAACTAAAAACCAGTTAGATACAGATAAACTTACAAGGACTGCACTCTACCAGCACGCCGGCATCCAGCGTCAGGTTGCCCAGTTTGTATCCATCAATCTTGTTGGTGCGATCAAAGCGAACCAGAGCTGTGATTGACAAAAGATTATTATACTTGCAATTTGTTTTAAAAATCTAGTTACCTGGATACTTTCGCAGTGTCTCCTTTACCACGGCATCCAAGTACGGTATCTGGCCCATCACCACGTCGTAGTACTGCTCCGATTCAGGGTCAATTCCGGCCAGTGAGGTAGTCAGCTCCTGGTGTAGGCGCTCTTGAACGGAAGGGTTGGAAACCAATTCAAAGATGCAGTTGGTGATCTACAGCAATGCACAAAATGGGTTTGGTTAAAATAGGTGTCAAGTAAAATTGTACTTACAGTAGAGCTGGTAGTCTCAAAACCTGTTTGAAAAAAAATTGATTATTATACAATTGTTTTGAGCTGACTCTGATTCCAAAAACAGCCCATACGCTTCTATTTACCTGCAACCTGTAATAACAAAATAATTAGTTAAACAAATTAGCAACACAACAAAAAGCAGTGTAAACTTGCAAAGAAGACAATCAGCTGACTGATGAGTTCGTTTTCAGTTAGTGTGCGCTTGACCTTATTAGAGCTCTGCCCTGTAACTCCCTTGAGTGCTTCTTCGGTTGATTCTACAAAAATAAAATATTTTAGTGAGATTTTTAAAACATGTTTGCTGCCAAATTGTCCTACCTTCTTGCTCTGTATTGGCGGTCAAATTTTCATAAGAGGCATTCTTCAGATCATTTTCGTAGACGTAGGCGTCCATTAGCAGCTGCACTAAATCGCCCCTCTTCCCGCTAGACTCCCGTCGCTGCTTCAGAATACTCTTTGTCAGCTTGGCAAAGTAGTCAAAGGCCCGTTCGGTGAAACCCATGTGAATGCCCACCAGATCGTTGAACCACCGCTTTCCGCCTAGAAAGCAAATGGCCCTGAAAGGATTCAGATTAAAGAGGTCTAGGGCGTTGGTCACCAGTTGATTGGTCTTGCCCGAGGCGGTGTTGGTTTCAATTTCAGTCGCAAAGGTGGTGGTTGCAACTAACACACAAAGTCCGACATTTTGAATAAATAAAGTTAAGTAAGGCCAAGTACTCACTAATGTCAATGGTAAAACCTCAATTCGATTGGTAAAGAAGTTAAAATCTTAAAAAAATTTGTTTTAAAAATTAGTAATTACCGGTGATAATTTCCTTGGGATTGATGACGTCCTTCCCCTCGGCAATGAGCTTGTCAAAGAAGGCCGCCATTCGGTTGGTGCACTTTTGCAT